TGAATTTATATTTAATTGCGCTGTGGTTTGCAGTGTTTTGTGTTGTTTCGTTTTAAATTTGTTCAAAAGGAAACAGCTGAAAATTTAAATAGTTAAAAGTTGAAATGTAAATAGTAGTTGTTTGTATTATATGATATAATTATAATTATTGTATAATATAATATATATGTGAGTGCTTGTGTATAAATACACAAACAATACACATATGCTTTCAATTGTGTAATTTAAGCGATCTAGGTAGCTCTTGTTTTGGAAGTTCAGTTAATGCTAGAAATGTGCTTTGGAGTTTGTACGTACTTTGTCTCTAGGGGCCACCGTATATATTTATATATATATATACATATATAAATAAAACCACGTGTTTTCTTTTACATTAGTAATTCCTTTTGTGCATCATTTTATATTGTTGTTAAAAATAAATAAATTAAAGCAACAAAACAACCTGAAGAGCCGGTTGGGAGCTGAAAGAGTTCAGGGCTCAGTTTAGGCTCAGTTTAGAAAAAAGGTAGAGGGATTGTACACCCAGGGTACCAAACAGGCCGCTCCTGAGAGCACAGGTGTGAGGAGCTTTATGTTACAGTTTCTGTCAATCTGTAACCATCATCACAGTTTTCATTCAAGTCACACCCCTTTAATCCGATCAGTCTTTTTTTTTCACGATGGGTATATTATTAGTATCTTATCATTAAAACCCAGAAAAAACGAGTTTGAATATTCTTCTTATTATTACTATTATCTGTTTATTTATTTAATTTTAGATAATGTAAGTGTTGTGATTGAGAGAAACATGTTACCAGAGGCAGGAATTAACAAAGTACAACTACTTCTTTACTTTGGAGGATGTGTCCTCTTGACAGTGTACTTGACATATTTGACTGCTGGTATCATCTATGAAGCAATTTGTTTATCAGCTAGGAGCTAGTTAGCACAGCTGCATTTTAAATTTTGTTTAGTGAGTCAAAGGAGAAAGAACAGATGCTCAGAAGAGGAAGATTGTCAATGTTTTGCTGAACAAAAGAGTGAGTGGTTTTTTTTTGTAAAGGAGCGAAACTTTGTTACCACTTCTATGTTGAAATCTTCACTCCTAGTGTGTGTGTGTCTGTGTGTGTGTGTGTGTGTGTGTGTGTGTGTGTGTGTGTGTGTGTGTGTGTGTGTCTGTGAGTGAGGAATTCTCTTGTTTTATATTATCACTCCCTTTCATTCTATCTGTGAGGACCTGCGTCTAATGGGCTTCTCTCTTCTCTTTCATGCTTATCAACATTACAATTGTCTTTCTGTTATGTTACCAAGATTAAATCTGTTTAGGGCTCGTGGCATCCTAGTGGAAGACGATGGTGTGAGTAAATGTGTCCATTCCCCTGACCTCTGACTGTGGTTGCTGTCCATGGTGCTGATCAAAAGCTGGAAAGAATCTACTGACAGTATTGATTATTGGTATGCATTATTTTACCAATACAGTGAGAAAGAGAGAGAGAGCAAGAGAGGGTGAGAAAGACTGTGAGAAGCTGTTTTTGCTTCAGGTGGAAAGGGCCCAAAAATAATGTCCCTGGCCGAATCACAGTTGTTACACTTGTGAAAGGGGGTCTTTTTAAAGAAAAAAGACCTCCTCCTATTGCAGTAAAAAAAGTGCACCATAGTCAAAACATTTTAACAGCACTCTAGTTTTCATACAGTCATACTCATTCTGTACACTCAAACTCCCCGATACACCCACCCAACATAGCACCTTTAACACTGTGTGTGTGTGTTCATACACTCCTGTTTCACACATCCTGTCTACTGAAAGAGGGTGGCATGGAAATCAAATAGGGTGGCAAAATCAAAGCCATTTCTTCTATGCTGGTGTTACTGTGGGATCCCAGAGTGGGATATTCTGTGTAAAACACGTGTTATGGGACATGTTTCATTAATATATGTATTCATTTTCAGTTTCTTTAAAAGAATAGAAATCCATATTACGTTGGAAAGCAGTGGGGGCAGAATGTTGGTGGTTGCTCCAGGGTTTCGGGGAGCAGTAAGGGAGCCCACCTTCCGCTGCTTCCTCAGACACGTACTGGAGAAAAACTGAGACGCATTGTGTCTTCATTACTCTGCTCTTCACCTGCTTTTTCAGGTAACATATTTATCACGGTTGTCTTCATCCTTGGGACCCGCAACATTAAATTCTGTAATATGTATAAGTCAATACGTATGGTTAAAATACATCACATGCAGTAAGTATACGCATGTTTCATATAAACATAGTCTGTAACTATCTTATTGGCTTTAGCCTAAATAATTGGGCTAAATCAGAAAGTTTAACTATCTGTTGTCTTTTTTTCGTTTTGTCCCTGTTTCCAAAAGAACGAGGAGTAATCTCCAGTGAGCTGGCAGCATGGTGGTGCGGTGATTAGCACTGTTGCCTTACAGCAAGCAGGGCAGTTCAATTCGATTCCACCACCTGCTGGCTGTGGATTTTGCATGCTCCCCATGTGTTTGCGTAGGTTTTCTCTGGGTACTCTGGCTTGGGGTTAGGCTAATTGGTCATTCTAAAGTGTCCATATGTGAATGTGAGGGCAAATGGTCTGTCTGTCTCCACGTGTTAGGCTCCAGTTTGAACTTTTACTATATTTCAGTTAAAGTGTTTTTATAAATTTGCATCACTGATTTATGTCATGAAATTACCTTTCTGCCACAGCAACCAAAGTCTTTTTAATGACAAACCAGACTGCTGAAGCAGCAATGCCTCATAACTGGATATAAAACCTGTTTTTATTCTATCCTGTACTGTTGTCAATAGAAAAGTTAGGAAAATATAACATTTGAAAATCATTCGAGAAAATGATACTAAAATTAATATTAATATAATTATATTAATTAATACTATTAATATAGTTATTTTTAGGTGTGAAATTTGGGGGTGACATACACACATACACTCGACACTCTCTGCGTCTCTCTCACACACACGTCTCACAAGAAGATTGTTATTTATGTATCTGTGCATTTTCTAGCATACACATATTGAATTATTCATAGGACTTTGTACAAAATATAAATGTCTTCCATGTGTTATATTGTGGTTTGATGTTTGCATATGTGGATGTTTTGTTCCTCATTTTTTTGCTTCCCCCAGACTTGGGCTATTCCAGATGCTCACCTGAATGATAGAGAATAAAAAGAAGCCAGTTGCTGTTACAGGGGTTGGGTTCTTTGGTGTGTTTTGGTGGGTACACTCATGCTTTCATTAATAAAGATTACTAGATGATAAATATTTTTGCAGCCTCGTGCCATTTAGTTTGAACCTATACGTGACTGCTGGCCAAACTGATATAAATAGTAAATGAAGTAAATAAAATGCCTGTGGCTTCTCAGGAAGTCCTGCATTTGGGTCCTGTTATTCACTCAAACCTGACAATAACACATCACCCTGTTTTATCCACAACTGTAAATTTTCGGAGACATCCTGTTACATTTACTGAGATCAGCAACAGAGTTTCTGAATTCAAACCTCAATAAAAATGTGAAAATGACTCAGCTTTTCCTTCTTTTGTTTTTACAGCATTATGGACTATAAGTTAAAGCAATTAATGATGCAGTGAATGGTGGTCAAAGGGTTGATCTTTACACAGAGCACGTCTGTCCCTTTTTATTAGCCCATTACAATTATTCCCCCATCACTTTAAAAAGGCAACAAAACATGCATGTAACATTTCTTCAGAGATGTAATTCAGTTTTAATTATATAGCGCCAAATCAACACAACAGTCACTTCAAGGTGCTTTATATTGTAAGGTAAATACACTAAGTAATACAGGAAAAAAACCAACAATCGAATGATCCTCTTTGAGCAAGTACCTGGCAACAGTGGGAAATAAAAACTCCCTTTTAACAGGAAGAAACCTCTGGGAGATCAAGGCTCAGAAAGGGGCAGCCATTTGCCACAACTGGTTAAGGGAGAGGGGAGCAGGACAAAAGAAACACACTGTGGAAGAGAGACAAGTTAGTGTCACAATCTAAATGTTGAAGTTGGTCGACATTTTCAGATCAGACTTATGGTCTTTAAGCCAAGTTTAAAATTTGTTTTGAATGTCCTTGGTGTAGTTATTGATGTCATTTCTTTTTATGACAATCTGTTCTTAAATTGTGTTTTATTTCTCACAAAAGTGAAAAGATTATGAAAGAAAGTCGAGCCAAAGAACAGAGTTGGCTCTTAGACTTCGAGTATAGGAGGCCCTCAGCAGAACTTTTAAAGAGAATAAGAAACACAGAAAACCTTAGATAAGGAGGTGTGCTCTGTATGGAAGACAGTTTCTGCCACTAAAAAAAAAATTAAAAAAGGATCCATAACTCAAAATTTTGACTTATTTTATCGAAACTTTGACTTATTAACTCAAAATTTTGAGAAAAGTAACTAGAAATTTCGAGTTAGCACTGCTAATCAGTAATCTACGTGAATGATGTCATTTCCTTGTAACCTGAAGCTGAAGCCTTACAAATGTTACAGCTAAGCTACCGGTATTACGTCCAGTCATGAATGCACAGATTGCTGAGTATTTTCAGTGTGGCTTCAAAAATTATGAAATCCTTGTGTAATTAGTGGAATCACAAACAAAGAAATGAGAGACCAAACATAAATTTTCTAATTTTTTATGCTAAGTATTATTTGGAAAGTCATTACAAAACAGGCAGTTTTTGAAAATTCAGATGTAACTCTAACTACAGTCATGAATAAGCGAACATGAATGAAGACTATGTGCTGTCTTAAGACGTTCAAGGACCAATCAGTGTCAATTAGCAGAATGAAAGTGTTTCATGGATAAAATTGTAACTCCTGCGAGAGAAACAGAATGACGTTCTGTATAGTTTCATTTCAATTTGGCCATAAAAATATTACTTTTTTAAAAATAAAAGCTAGGATAGACTTTTTTGTTTAGAAGATGGTGTAAACACTGTAAATAGTTATTTTTGCTCTATTCACTCCAATTCACTGAGGACCATCTTGAAGATGTCCTGAACTGAAGCCATTTTCAGAACTATAACAGGAAGGGAAAAGACTTCTTAGATTGGTTTTGGTGTTTCTGTGTGAAATCAGTAAAGGTATGAACATAATCGCCATCTAGTGGCAGAGAAAAGGAATTAAAACACTTTGTGAATGAGCTGCCACAGCAGTGGTCCAATCTTCTACTGTGTCAGGAGTATTCAGACAATTTTGACATACTTTTTTTTCCACAATGGTAAAACCAATATTAGGTACATAATTCATGACAAATAAACATGTAAAAGGGGTTGATGATATAAAACAGCTCTGTATCAAAGGCAGTGTGGAGTAAGCAGACCTGCTTCTGTTCACTCTGAAGATGAAGCTACTTTAAGAAAACTCTCAGAGTCCCAGAGCTTCTTTCTTCACGCTGCAACCCAGCAGGACATTTCCAGCATCCACACACTCTGACACACACGGTGCTAAAAACACAACATAAATATTAAAATAATGATTGTGGGAGGAAAGCTGTAGAATGAAACAGTTTTTTAAAGCTGTTATTTTATCTGTTACAATCATTGCTAGTACCATTGTGAGCACAGAGCCACGAGGCAGCCTTCATAGCCAGAAGCTCCCACTCGTCCTTTGCATCCATCTTGAAACCATGAAGCCAGATCAGAGCCAGAATGGTGGCCCACACTTCACTGCTGGTCTAATTCCCCAAATCAAAATCAATCAAATAAAACAGACAGAACACACATTTTACTTTCTACAACCAGTAATATTACATATGTTTGTGTACTTCTTTGTCACACGGGGTCACCAAGGTGGGCAGCTCTGCATATTTGATTTGGCAGATTATTACACTGGATGCTCTTCCTGATGAAATCCCAAACTGTGATGTCATAAATGCTCTAAAATAATGTGCTGACATGTTTTTACAACAACTGATGAAGAAAATAATACAAGGATTCACAGTGCTTATTGTCATGTGTCACAAGAGAAAAGGCATTTTTCTATGCAATGAAATTCCTTCCACCCACAAATGTCGATTAATATATACAATAGAAATAGAACATATAATACAAATAGTACAAATAAAAAAATGAAGACAGAAAAGGAGACAAAATATGGAAATTTGAAACAGATGTGTGTAAAAGAGCTATAGCTTAATATGTTGGCTTAATATGTAAGATGACCAGACGTGCAAAAAAAATTTATTATTACTGTTCAGAATGGGTCAGCTGTTCAAGAGTCTGATGGCAGTGGGGAAGTTGTTGAGTCTGGATGTTCTGGATGTTCTGGCAGTAGTGCTGCCATACCATGCAGTGATGCAGCTGGTCAGTGTGCTCTCCACAATGCAGCTGTAGAACCTGCTGAGGATCTTGGCCGACATACCAAATTTCCTCAGCCTTCTCAGGAAATAAAGCCGCTGCTGAGCTATCTTGACCAGCTGTGTGGTGTTCAGTGTCCAGGTGAGGCCCTCAGAGATGTAGACGCCCAGGTACCTAAAGCTGCTCACCCTCTCCACCTCAAGGCCCCGGATAGACAGCGGTGGGTGAGGCCTCCTCTTCTTCCTCGTGTCCACTATCATCTCCTTTGTCTTGCCAGTGTTGAGGGTGAGGTTGTTGTCCTCACACCATGACACCAGACTGACCACCTCCCTCCTGTAAGTCGCCTCATCTCTTCCAGTGATGCGACCGACCACTGCAGAATTGTCCGCGAACTTCAAAATGATGTTATCCTTGTTGGATGTGACACAGTACAGGGTGTACAGGGTGTATAGGATGGGACTGAGGACGCCAGTATTTGTAATAATGCTGGCTGAAGTGCTGTTGCCGATCCTGATGGACTGCCAGCCTGCCAGTCAAAAATTTCTGCTGCTCTGCAGTTTCTGGATAATATCAGACGCTGGTGCGTCTCAGTGGGTGGTTAGGAGTATGATTACCACCAGTGTTTTAGGCTACGTCCACACTAGCCCGGATAGATTTGCAGACTGCGTTTTCGTCTGAGTTGCGCGTCCACATTGAAACGGCCCAAAACGCTTACGTTCCAGTACTGCGTATGCGCAAAAGCGCGTGAGAATTAAAGAATTTGAAGAAAAGCTATCTGGAGCATGTACAAACTGATAATAATCTGTTTTAGGGCTGTCAAAATTAGAGCAATCAAAACAACTGCTGTATAATGCACTCCGCTATCTTTGTTTAATTGGTCACATGGCTGCATCACATGACTAAAATGCGTCATCGCTTTAGAAAGTCTGCGTTTTTGAGTGTCCACACTGCGACGGGGCAGCTCCGTTTTGAAGTGTATACGTTTTCGAGAGCGTTTTCAAAATGCTGCATTTTTCCTTGAGGAAAACGCTGTCTCAGTGTGGACGGGAGACCAAAACGGAAAGAAAACAATGTGTTTTCAAACGAAAACGCATTAGTGTGGACGTAGCCTTAGCTTCTGATATGCAGATGTTTATTCTCAGGCTGTGAGGCAGGCCTACATTTAGTTTGACTTCATCTTCTTTGTTTTATGGTGTATTTTTAATTACATCATGTGTTTTTGTTGAAATCATAGAATCAAATCTGTTTTATCTCACATCATCATTTTGTGTTAATATTTAAATTGACAGCAGTGCACCTTTTCAGGCTTTGACTTTTCCACCTCCTCGTTGGTGTGTCCCAGTGCAGCAGCCAGAGCTGGATCAAGCAGCCAGCAGCCAGACGCCTCCTGCAGGGAGACTAACTGCAGCAAAGGGTCTCTGGGTGGCTGCTCAGGCACAGCAGCTGGAAAATCTAAGATGCAATAAAAACAAAACCCGATTATGGTGCTAGATGACAAACAGAACTCTACATGATAACCATAAATTACATCTTAAAACTGTAATAATTACATAAGAGCTCCACAACAAAATCAAATGTTTACAACAGTTCGAACTTATTAAAGAAAACTAAAACTGGCAGCACCATACCATCAGTTACTGTGGTTTTAAAGAATACCATCTGAAGGCAATCAAGCTGATGAAATGAAAGCTTAATATGATGTAAAGTATGTGTTTCACATGTTTTACAGAGAAAATATATGGTTTTATATATTAAATTATTTTAATCTGATTTATTGGAATATAAGACTTAAAGATTATTCAACAGGAGAAAACTGGATCTCAATATCAAAGCAACTGAACTAAACATTGTTATACAGTCTCTTCCACTAAGCCTTAAACTTCCTTCATATCTACCAAGACAATGCATGCTTATTTTTTTTTTATTTTATTCTAACCCAGCAAATTATAACTGATGGTGTTACAGACAATAAGAAAATAAGAATTTCCATCAGTTAACCTTTTGATAAAACACTCCTGTTAATTAAAGCTAAATACATGCTCTCATTTTGTTTTTTACTTACATTTTCTTGACTGGTTTTCTTCTTCCATCATTGGGAATCCATCTGAATTGGTAAACACACACAAAAAAACGTTTTTGAGTTCATTACAGAGAATTCCTCAGCAATAGTATCTGAATGCATGAATTTCACAAAAACAGTCATATTCCAAGAAAAAAATCATAACCTTTTCATTTCTGATTTAATACTCATGGCCATTGGAGCAAATATAGGTTTGGAGTCTAACTTATTAAAGAAAAATAAAACTGGCAACACCCCAGCATCAGTTAAAGTGGTTTTAATGAATACTATCTGAAGGCAATCAAGCTGATGAAATGAAAGCTTGATACGCTGTAAAGTATGTGTTTCACATGTTTTACTGGGAAAATGTATGGCCAATAAATACATACATAAATACACATAATCAGATTAATTTAATATGATTTATTGGAATATAAGACTAAAAGATTATTCAACAGGAGAAAACTGGATCTCAATATCAAAGGAACTGAACTAAACATTCTCCAAAAAGTTGATTCTGTTCATCTGGACGTAGCGTTTTGTGGGAGAAACGTTTCGTCACTCATCCAAGTGACTTCTTCAGTCTCAGCTGAGTCACTTGGATGAGTGACGAAACGTTTCTCCCACAAAATGCTACGTCCAGATGAACAGAATCAACTTTTTAAAGATTTACTTCCCTGGATGATTGAGAACGCATCAAGATGAACTAAACATTGTTATACAGTTACTTCCACTAAGCATTAAATTTCCTTCATATCTACTAAGACAATGCATGCTAATTTTTTTTCTTACTTTATTCTAACCCAGCAAATTATAACTGATGGTGTCACACCCATTAAGAAAAAAAGAATTTCTTTCAGTTGACCTTTTGAAAAAACACACATGTTAAAACTAAAATACATGCTCTCATTTTTTTTAAAACTTACCTTCCATTACCTTTTGTTTCCTCCCGTTCATGAAGAATCCTTTTTAATTGGTAAACACAATGCAACATTTTTGAGGTAATTACACAGAATTCCTCAGCAATAGTATCTGAATGCATGAATTTCACAAAAACAGTCATATTCCAAGAAAAAAAAAATCATAACCTTTTCACTTCCCGATTTAATACAATGTAAGAAATGTGCACTATTGTGCCCCTCTGCCCTTAGCATACACACTCCATGATAATATTCTTTTGGCTGTCAGAGACACAAACATTCCCCTGACATACATGTTGCTATGGACCACATTACCAGCTCCTACATGTAATAGCTCACATCATTTCCTCTGTGTTTAACAGTCTGTGTATTTACAGAAACTGTACAAAATATCACATTGATGAAAACTGGTTTTGCTGTATTTACTCTTTTTATTGCTTGTTTGCTGCTCTAACTGATGCATATGTATGGAGAAAAATGTGTTCAACAAAGGGTCGATCCACAAGCATAAACTGAGCTCCACAAGTGTGCACAATGACACATGAGGACTCACATGTGCATGTTCAGTCCACACACTGAAACACACCTAAAACTATTTTTTTCCAAATGCGTACATCCTAACCTGAATAAATACTGAGTTTAAGTTCAGTGAACAAATCAGATCACTTTGACTTTCAAAAACTGTCTCACTCATACATACACACAGGTATATATGCTCTGAGCATGTTCCTGTGCTGCCATGATTAGTGCCTCTGTGCTGTCTTTCAGATCAGGACATCTGGATGTCGGCCTCTTCCTCTATCTGCCGGTGGTACACACCGTTCAGGGGACTGTCCTTCTACAACAGCCTCTTCCTCCTCTTTCTTGGTTTTCTGCTGCCTGAGGTATTCACTGAGCGCGTGGTCGGTTGTATTGGTGGATATTTGTTGTCTCATTCTGAACTGTGGCACTGACACTCACCAGTCCCCGTCCTCCTTTCTTCCACTTAGCATACAGCCTCAGGGTGCTGATCTTAGGGTGAACCCTCCATGCATGGTCAGGAGTTTCCTTGTCTTGATGTCAGTGGCTTCCATCTCTTATTATCCCAGCCGGGTACCTGATCATGGGCAGGGCGTAAGTGATGATAGCCTGGATCTGTTCTTACTGTTCAGCTGACTCCTCAGGACCTGTCTGACCCTCTGCAGGTACTTGGTGGTTTCAGCTTTCCTAGCAGCCTCTCCACAGCTCTTGGGGTCCTGTTGATCTTGTACAGTTCTAGGCATTCCAGGATCCGAGTGTGGGGCTTGGTCAGCCAAGTCTTGCAGTCTCTATCAGTAGCTGGTGTTTTGTGCCTCTGGTATTGATGCCAATTCCTTTTTGTGCCCCGCTTATGTATTGAGCCATGTGCTTATTCATCTTTGCCGCTATGATGCCTGAACAGAAGCTTCCATGTGGTACTGATGCAGGTTACGTCCAGTAGTTGGATGGGCCCGGTCCCTTCTACAAACAGCTACACATTTACATAGATGTACAGATGTGTCATTTAGGTTTTACTTACCTGCTTCAATTTCCTCAAACATCACTGCGGAGTCACACACTATAACGTAAAATAGAGTTAGTGTTCCTTAGCAAATTCTTAAGAAATGTACTAACTTACTGATTTGTTGATATACAAATACAAAACAATAGTATAAAAGTATGTAAATGTACATCACTGTAACCTTTCTAATTAGAATCTTGATTTCTTGGAACAAATATTTTAAAGTCAATCTCCCTTTTTGCTTTTAGATAATCTGAACATGACTCAGATATTCTGCTCTTAAATTTATCATCGTACTCTTTTTTACTCACATTCATCTGTCTGACAAAAACAGATTAATATTTCATCTTAACATGTAATGTCTCCACATCATACTACGTTTCTGGCTTCTGAGAGTCTTACAGCAGGTTAGAATATTACTACAATATTTAAACTGTATTTAAATCTACATGTTGATAAACACCACCTATATTTAATCATTCAAGTTCAGACAGATTGGCTCATTTAAAGGGTCTTTTTCATTATTTTTACTCTTTTGTGCAGTAGAGAAGAAAATGGCTCTTAATGGAAGGAACTACATGATCACATATTTAATATATTACATTTCTAATTATTTAATAATTCAAAAAAGCCAGTTTCACAGGAAGGAATTGCAGCTTGATTATGACGCTAATATGGAAATGTTGGGAAAATTAGACATTTCATTTGCTGTTTAGATCAGTACGTTTATGGCTTCTGAGGTCATTATCATGACCTGCAACTTATCATAAATGGTAGTATAAATACAGCCAATTACAACAACTGTCAAAACAAATACTGCAGCAACTGTGTAGTTAATGTTTGACATTTAACATTTCAAATACAAATATGTTGGTTTCTTTGTTTTTATTTTAGAAATGCACATGTGTGTAGATGTGTGTTGTCACTCAGCTTCTACTTACTAATCGTGGATGAAGCAGCCATCATGACTATGAAAAAAAAAAAGTCAGGTTGAGGGTGAACATATAAGAGAGAAATAAAACCTGGCATTACCACACCGTTGATCTTTAAAATGTATAAATCAACCTTAAACAGGTTGAGGTTATCAGGTGAAGACTTCACTTTGGGACACAGCGCATTACAAAGGCTGTCACAGCAAATACTGCAGCTATTTGCATACAGTATTCAAATGAATTCAAATAAAAATGTGTGTTGGTCTTTTTATTTTTATTCGTCAGAAATGCATATTTGTGTAGATGCATGTTTTTGCTCAGCTTTTACTCACCACAACCAATTGGAGCCAATTCAAACACTACGCAAAAAAATAAAAGAAAAAAAAAATATCAGCCTGAATATTATTAGAGAAAAAGAAAAACAAAACACTGTCGATCTTTAAAATGTATAAATCAACCTTAAACAGGTTGAGGTTATCAGGTGAAGACTTCACTTTGGGACACAGCGCATTACAAAGGCTGTCACAGCAAATACTGCAGCTATTTGCATACAGTATTCAAATGAATTCAAATAAAAATGTGTGTTGGTCTTTTTATTTTTATTCGTCAGAAATGCATATTTGTGTAGATGCATGTTTTTGCTCAGCTTTTACTCACCACAACCAATTGGAGCCAAATCAAACACTACGCAAAAAAATAAAAGAAAAAAAAAATATCAGCCTGAATATTATTAGAGAAAAAGAAAAACAAAACACTGTCGATCTTTAAAATGTATAAATCGATCTTAAACAGACTGAGGTTATCAGATAAAAGCCTTCACTTTGGGACACAGCCCATTACAAAGGTTATCAAAGCTATTTGCATACAGTATTGTATACTTACCATTTCAAAAAAAATTAAAAACAGAAATTTTTATATATATATATACATATATATATATATATATATATATATATATATATATATATATATATATATATATATATATATATATTTTGAAATGCACAGATGTAAAATGATTTTTTTTTAAAGGTCCAGAGATTTAATGTCTTACTTTTTAACATTCATAGGCTGATATGCAAATATAACACAATACAAAAACACTGTTTAAAATATACTGTTTTTTTCTCCTGTCAATATCTTGAATAACTGTACCATATTTTTGCTACTGAATCTCATATTTTGCTTTAACCAACCTTTTTAAAAAAAAATTTGTACAACGTCTGGATCCTGTTAACTGACTCTGATAGTCTGCTCTTCTATTTATCATTGTACTCTTTTCATTCAAGTTCAGCTTTCTTCATCTTCAAACTGTGTTTGAGTATTTTAGTTTAAAAAAAAAAACAACAACTCACGGGGTGTTGGAATATTTCTGCGCACAAGAGGTCCTTGAATCATTTCGCTGTTGTCTTTGTTGACAGCAATGAAGGCAGTGAAAGAACTGCTCACTCCTGATTGGACACTGAGCTGCACCACCTTCTCCTTCACTCCATCTTGCTGTCCTCTGTGCTCTCTCTCCTCCATCTCCAGGGAGCGAATGAGAGTCTGAGCACCCAACCTGTGAACTGTTAGTCTGCAGGCAAGAAGGAAAACACACAGAATCATATGTCATATGTGATCAGAATCAGAATCACAATCAGAATACTTTATTAATCCCGAAGGAAATTAGGGTTACAGCAGGCAGCACGCTAATGGCGCATGCGCACTTACAAAGGAACCTTCTGACCAACTTTACACAAACATCACATTGGGGAGACATGTCAGAAAGGTAGGCTGATAGGAAAAAAACAACGAAAATACATAACATGAGGTAAGAGGAGGAGAAAAAAAACTCCACTCAGACTGAGCTCCTGAGAACAGTTTGATAACAGAAAAAACACCTCAGCACAAAAGCACATGACTATCAATACACCATAGAAACACAAGACAAGCAACAGGGGCGGGTAAAGGGTAAGAGAGAGCCGGTGTAGACAGCGCATCCGGTCCTGCAGCGTGTCTGCGCTGGTCCAGTCGACTGCCATCTTCCCCGGTAGGGCACAAGCATCGAAGGCGTTTGGAAAGGGAGGGGGGATCAGTGTGTGCATATCAGTGTATGTGTGTGTCCAGAGTTCAGCTGAGACAGTGTCCTTCGGCCCGCCAGGCTAAGTAAACAGTCTTCCAGCCAACCCAGGTGGCCTTGTATGGAATGGGGGGGAACAGTCTAAACACAGTCGTTATCAGGGAGTTTTATTCAGCTCCAGCCTTAAGGCCGCAGCTGGCGCCGAAGGGGTCTCCGCATGAAGTGATGGTGGTTTTTACATATATTGCAAATAGCTATGCTTAATACTGATCGAATATAATCAGGTATATTAAATGACTAATAAATTGTCTGTCTATGTATCAAAAGACCCCTCTGAGTGAAAAAAAATCAGGGAACAGTTAACCCTGCCTGGGCTAGGGTTACTGGGCCCCCACCTGTTCTAGCAGGAAGGGGTCATCCCTGACTGCAAACCAGTGCACAAAGCAAGATACATAAGCAAGTTTGATGAGGAAGAACTGGTCTGGCCGGCACAGAGTCCTCAACTCAACCTGATCAATGACCAACCTCACAAATGTCCATTTAAAAGAATGACCAAAATAACCCAAATTATCTGTGTATCTGAGCCTCAGTCTCAGTCTAACTTTGCTTTTTTTTTGTGGGAATGGAGTCTCTGCCTTTGATTCTGACAAGTAACTGCAGCTAAAAAGTCAACACTGTCACTTCATTTGATCATAACAAGTGTAGAAAAGCTCAGACTGCAGCGTAGAAGTTGCTGAAAGGGAGGAAAGCTACAATAAGCTGGAAGTGAGTCAAACATTGATTGGTAGATTGTTAACAATATTGTATGCAATTGTTCAGGACCACTGAGTCACAGGGTTAAAGTCTACTCATTGTGAAAGAATTTCTGCAAGAACACAAAACTTTGCACAGGTGTTATGAGAAGTTTACATACACTCATCAAGGGCATGAATTTGATGGTATTTCTGAGCTTTTAATGGTTTCTTTGGATTCTTGTTGTTCCAGGGTGGAATGATCCAAATTAGCTGGCTTATTCACATAGACTGTAATGTTTCTAATGTACAAAGAAATTATGTCATTCAGTTGTGTTGTGCATATGCATATTTTATATTATAGTTACACTGTGTACTGTGTGTTAGGCACTTTATTGATATAAGGGCAATGGAGTCCAGCACTCCTTCAAAGGCAGATATAGGTAAACAGCACTAAAGAGCTTTACTATTCAAAAGGTGATTAGTGCCAATTTCTGAATATTTATTTTTTAATTTCACAATATGACAAAATAAAGGATGCTTAATACTTTTTAACATGATCTTCTTAATAACAAAATTGAAAAAAAATTTGGATTTTGTTATTATTTTCCTTGAGTATTTCTTCTTCAGTCACCTTTCTCACTCACTATGTGTTAACAGACCTCTCTGGACAGAATCATACTTGTTATTATTCTCTGTCTCTCTTCCACAGCATGTCTTTATCCTGTCTTCCTCCTCTTACCCCAACCGGTCGCTGCAGATGGCCCCGCCCCTCCCTGAGCCTGGTTCTGCTGGAGGTTTCTTCGTGTTAAAAGGGAGTTTTTCTTTCCCACTGTGGCCAAAGTGCTTGCTCATAGGCGATCATATGAGTGTTAGGTTTTTTTCTGTATGTATTACTATAGAGTCTACCTTACAATATAAAGTGCCTTGGGGCAACGGTTGTTGTGATTTGGGGCTGTATCAACAAAACTGAATTGAATTGAAGAAAATGGTATTTCCTTTCAAATTTCATGTGGCATTGAGCAAACATGACAAGTCATGCCACAAAAATAATCAGTACGTTGTCTCTTCAAAATACAACAAATACTAGAGTGTCCAGAAGGTCAAATGGAATTTTTTTTTTTTTTTTAAATGTGTCAGTAAGTGCTGTGTGGCAGGAAGGAGTTGGACCCAAAATGCAGGCTCTCAGACTCAAGGGGTGAACTCAAAATCACAGCTTTATTGGCTGGCAAGGAAGACGCATTTAAAAAAAAAAAAAAAAAAAAACTACACTGGGAAATCTAAGTTCAAGGAAACACAGGGACAGAGTAACACACCGCAATGAGGGACGACGTAACACTGACACAGAGACACACAGGGCTTAAATACACTGGGGAATAACGAGGGAATGAGACACAGAAGAAGAGCAGAGCTGGGGGAAATCAGAACTGACGAGACAAGGAAACAAAGTAGGGCCGTATTCAGGGTCTGCAGCCTTAAAGGCCACATTTTAAGGCCGATTACGTCACAGTGGCGCGCCGAAGGCTGTCCCAATTCAAAGGCTGCTCGAAATGCGTCCTTCATTTCCCTGAATTTTAAGGCTGTGGCAGTGTAGACTTCGTGGCCCAACATATCCCACAATTCATAGTGTGGCAGTCGGTGTGGATAATTTTGCCGCAGACGGCAGAAGCGGAGCGGCCGAAGAGTAAACTGTGAAAAGTAAGTACGGAATATTATGTCACTTATTTATGTGCGAATGTTTAATAATGAGGAACATTAAAACATTACTGTTGGCCACATGTCGCCATTAGCGATGTTTGTACGTTCAGCTTTTACTTGCTTTTAAAGCCTTTAAAATATAATAATACAATAGTCGACCTTAATCTTACAGAGAATGTGATGATTTTATGGATAATTAAAGTCAGTCATATATCCACAATCACAACAAGCTGAAAGTCAGTGATGCTGCTCGGTTTGCAGTCCTGAATATCACGGCACAAGCAGGATCCACTGCACTGTTAATGTTAGCTATGTTATATTGCTGCCTCTGTTCGGTGGTGTCGAGCCAAACGGACTTTAACGTGTGTTTGAACGAGCTGACGGTTCACTCGTTAAGCTGAAAGAAAGATGCTTTAATCACAGGAGTCACACATGTGTCCACTGCACCATCTGGGAACTCTTCTTGTTTAGCACTCGTAATAACACAAACACTAAATCCTCCTCCTCTTGTGCTGTTTTGTAGCAGTGTATACACCTGAGACTGTCACCTGTCTGTCTGCCCTGCACTCTCTCTCTTTGTCTTTCTCTCTGATTGTGTAATAAAAGTATGAACATGTGTTTATAAGTTACACTTGTGTTTGAATCCTGCAGCTTATCACACATTTGATTCCCATGTGTGACAACTGCAAGTGTCCAGAGTGAGGACAGACTGAGGGATCCACTGCTGCACATCATCTGTGAGGCTTTGCACCCCTGATGATCCACCAGGACAAACTCAGCAGTGTTTGAGGAAGTGAAAATATGTTCTCCTTCATTTCTGTCAACCACACGTTTCCAGCTATCATAGTTGCTAGGCAACCTGGGCAGCGCGACGGAGGCTAGACCGTCCCATTTCACAAGCCTCGCACTTCCGGCCTTAGCGGTCTTTGAGTACGCGGCCCTTGAGGACCGTTGAGGCTGCGTACTTTAAGGCTGCAGACCCTGAATTGGGATACAGCTTAGGATACACTCACATGAGACACAGACCTTCAAAGTAAAACAGGAAGTATAACACTGAGGCGCGAACTTGACATGGTGGAGACAGAACAACTAAGAAACCGAGACATAACCATAAGGCAGAGGACTCTAAGAACCAAAAGACTAGAGATGATAAATAATACACAGAGTGAAATCCTGGAACACAAGAAACTGACTCAAGGGAGCAACAAAATACCAACCATGAGAACATAATTCACAATACAGAGTGACAAAAAACACAGGAAACTCAAAACATGCCAAGACACAGACCAAGAAACACGGACTTTACACAGAACAGAGGGGGCACAGAAAAACATGAGGGGCAAGGGATCAAAACTAGAAACCATAGAATAAATCACATGAGAACTTGACAAAATACTAAGAAAACTCACAAAGAACTAAAAACGCTGGGTCAGGAGACCCAGGACCCTGACAAAATGTTATTATTTGAAATGGAGTCACTTGGGTCTCACAAATTAAAAATATACATATATTCTATTTTGACAGGACAACCTACTGATATTTTTGTTTTAGCAGTACAGCGTAGTTCAAAAGAGCATTTTTTGAAGAAAATATCTTGTGTAGTATTTAATATTTGAAGTTAAAATTTCACAGTAGTCGTTATACGTGCCCAAACTTTGTACCATAACATTTTTATGAAAATCATGGATGGTTGAGCAGAAGTCCTGTGTTGATTTCAAACAGAATGACCCATGAGCTGGGTTTGACTTTACTAACTTTTTGAAGTTACTTTTTAACAAGCAGGTAGTAGTTTGTGTAGTACAAGAAAAACTACCCATTAGCTTAAGAAATTCCCGAGCTGTCCTTAAAGTAACACCAAAGCTGGGTCCGCTCCCTAGACCTCAAAGAAAGGCAGAAATCCCACAGAAGGAAGCAGAGGCAGTCAGGACAAAGACAAGCTATGAAAGAGAGAAAGCAAGAGAAGTGCAGTTTGGTGTATAAACACATGGAGAGTGAAAATAAAATGCTCAGTGTATCATGGTAAGCCACCAACAACCCAGTTGCAGCATACCTAAGGGATGGTTTAGGGTCATCTGATACAGCTCCAATGGGAAAGTATTGACGAGTAATGTTAAAAATAGAGATAGTGCCTGAATTTAAATAGTGTTATGAATTAAAGAAAAAAAGAATGCTTGGACACTGCTATCATAATGGACAGGTTTTTGACAGGGCTCCCACAACTATGTCTCCAAACTAACTTCCTTCCAAGCCAAAGACTAGAAAATATGGTGAAGCATATCTTGCCTTTGGCCTCACCTGCACAAGTGCCAAGGTAGGTCTCCCCGGCAGAATTAGTTTCCCCTGCGTCGGGAGCAACCCTGGGCTCTCCAAATCACGGACAAACAGAATCCCACATTCTGGATTTTTAGTTCACAAAAACTTCTTATAATGACTTACTATCCCTGACATTTTGACACTTTATACAGTAAAGTTACAGTGGAATACAAATACTGACAGGCTGATCCTGCCACAATTTGTTCCCCCTGTCCAAATCATGGACAAGATTTTCTTGTAAAATAAAGAGGGGGCCTAGCAAAAGAAAGTTTGGGAACCACTGACGTAACCGCAGTAATCAGTCTGAAGGAGTCCTGACAGTATCTTTCACAGATTTCTTTCTGCTGCTGATGGATTTGCCTCTAAAAGTCAGACAGACTTTGTTTTCTTCTCTAAACAAACACTATGACAGTGTGCAATGTGCAGACAAGTCTGTCATTCTTTACAAAAGCAGGCTCTGAGGACACAAATTAGTTATTGTTGGTGATGTTCCTGTGTGTGTCAATCTGTTTGTTCTTAGTGTATTTTAGAGTAAAAGTGTCAGATTATTGCACAATAGTGTTTGGACTTGAATTCAAACAATGTCTCCTTGATTTCACACAAACGGCAGACTGAGATTACTCTGTCATGTCTAATATGTTTGTGATCAGTAATGATATACTATTATATGTTATGATACCCCTAATCCAAGAAATAATGATTAGGAAAAAGTGAAACATATTTAAAACTAGACACACAGCATTAGGTTTGGGTATTATTAACTGTTTTCCAGTAAGTAGAGTTACGTTTCTGAAAATACTGTTTTAAATTCAACACGTGGAAACTCACAATTCAAAACAGAAATGTTGTTTGTGTTAAACTGCTTTACCCAGCGTCCTCTGCAGGTCTGAGACTGAAGTGCAGCTGGTTCTCAGAGGGATGACCTGCCAGGCTGTACGTCAGCGTCACACAGCCCTCTGCTGCCTCTGAGCTCTGACACAGAATCACAGGGTTAGAAGTCACGTTAATTACTGTCATCAAATACCTAAACAACAACATGAGAAGGTGCTGCTCTTACCTGTCCACTGAGCTGGGCATAAATCAGTGACCTCTGACCCTGGAAAAGTGTTGTGATTGGTGGAGAGAGGACAGTGACAGACACTTCCTTTGGTAAATCCCATGTGACTGAGATGTCGACCACAGCTGGCTGCAGAGCAAATCGCAGCGACTGCATCACCTGAAAAATAATGAAAACTTTCCAAATATACACAAACAGCTGGAACAGACATTTTACTCACTGCAGGTCTGATCTCCAATATGTATCTGCTGCTGCTGTAATGTTTAACTTGACTTATAATATTATTAATGTATATAACATGTTTGAACATACATACATGCACATAAACAGACACATAATCAACCATACATTCAGACATTTATTCCAACATGCAAACTATGGACCAAAATACAGGGGAAAAGATCAAGGGTAAGGTAACCAATGAATGCTTTCTCTCTTTCATAGCTTGTCTTTGTCCTGACTCCCTTTGTTTCCGATCCCAGTCCCAGTGTCGCCACCTCCAGCTGAAGAAAGGGAGAGATGCTTCCGTTGCAGAGAAATTTTCCAAATCACTTTATGGCGACCTGTCCAATTTGGCCAAAAGACTCCGCCCACTGGTAAATTCGGGCATACGGTTGGGCGAATCCCTCACTTCCACTGAATCTCTGCTTCTCCTTCTGGTCATCCTCAGTCTCAACTAGATCACTAGGTCACTTCAAGCCTCAGGAGCTGAGCAGAACCTAATTGATATTAGGTTAGCTAACGAGTTACATCTCCCTTTGATCCTGTTAAAATCCTCCCATCCCATCCCATCATGTCTGATCAAGGCCCTTGGTTTACTTCACAGGTGTGGAGGTCATTTTGTTCAGCATTAGGAGGCCGGGTCAGTCTCAGCTCTGGATATCATAGCCAGACCAGCAGCCAAACAGAGCAGATGAAACAGGAGCTGGAGGCTACACTTTGCTGTCTCACGTTCAACAACCCTTCAACCTGGTCATCATATCTCCTCTGAGTGGAGTATGCACACAACTCTCACACTTCATCCGTTACTGGTTTCTCTCTCTTTTGAAATCTCCTTAGGATACCAGCCACTTTGTTCCCAGAAACAGAGATAGAACTGGCAGTTCCCTCAGCGCAGCAGCAGCGATATCAACGTGTCTGGACACGGGCCAGAGAGACATTAGTCTGGAAAGATGAGCGCTAGCGCCGTTAAGCAGACCACCACAGACCACGCACTCCCAGGTAGCTACTTGGGCAGAAGGTATGGCTTGCTGCAAAAGATATTTCCCTAAAGTCACTGTTGCATTCACTCATACAAGGTGGGGCTCCATCATTAGCCCCAAGGTAGTTAAACTGAAGCTACCAGCATCTTGATGCATAATCAATCATCCAGGTAAGTAAATCCCCAAAAGTTGATTCTGTTCATCTGGATGTAGCGTTTTCAGTGGGAGAAATGTTTTGTCACTCAACTAAGTGACTTCTTCAGTCTCAGCTGACTGCAGGTTTCCCCAATCTTATAAACAGAACATTTGCATTATGACTGAAACCAGCCCAGTGAAGGAACATGGGGTGGGAGGTCAGTTCCTTGATCATTAATGCAAACACTCATGAACATTGATCAACAACCACTGATCAATGGCCATGAGCACCATTCACAGAGAGTTGGGGAATGGCTGCAATCACAGCATTGTAAGATGGCAAAAGATGTACCCTTAGGCAATGTTCCCTCTGTGCAATCGCGCACTGCTGGCACAGGCTCCGCACACAGAGAATCTGCGTTGCACACAAAAAAAATCTATCCTGAATTGAAATAAAAATAAATACGTTAACAATTAATTCTGTTTTGCAGTGTGAGTCAGTAGTGACCGGTGACTGGCTGCTCCAGCCAATGATGCGATTCACATTCGTATATACGCAGCTAATCAACATCGTTGACAGGCTATGACAACGTTCTTATGTGCCGACACCGGTGTTTTAGCTAGCAAAGCAGCGTGGCTGATGTGCAGGATCTTGGATGTCCGCCGGCCTGGTCGTGGCTGCCAGTCTTGGGTAGACTGGGAAGGGTACTGCACCTCCGAGTAAAAAGACTGCATGTGTGAAATAATGTCAAGGAGATATGTTGAGAAAATTAGTTTAAACTCTAAGAAGAGAACTGATCAAGAGACTTGGTCCAGTTGAAGACGTGCAGACTTTTTAAGCAGTCACTGGAATACATGGCAAGGAAAGCAGATTGAGGGAGATTAAGGAATCTGCTGATGGTGTCAAACAAAAATATTGGATTAAGTTTATTACCATTAGTCAAACCAGCAAAATAAGATTGTGTCTTTTATAAGTTGGTGAAGTATGTTTAGTAAGTCCTTCATATAGTGTTATTATCCTACTTCATAATTGTGTTAAATGTCTTACTTTTGGTTGCATCCTGTCAGTCCCTGTGATGAACTGAGCGTGACCTCCTCCTTCTTTGGCCATCCCATTGATGAGAGCAGAGCTGGCCCCTTCCCCAATCCCAAAAGAGAAACACCTGCAATAAAACAATTGTCTTTGAGCACACAGAGGACATGTTGGACATCCTAAAAACTGTGTAGATATAACTGTGGTTTTGTGGTTTCACCTGTGAGAACCTGAATTCTTCTTCACCTGATCGATCACTTCTTTGGTGTTCCCCACCTCTCCATCAGTAAAGACAAACAGCTAGAGAGGAGAGTTTACACATAAGGACATATCACCAGACCCACAAACACACAGCTTGTTCTGAGAGCTGAGTTAGTTTTCAGAAATAGTAACTGGGCTGTGTTTTATTAGTGCTTTTCTACTCTGCTTGAGCACTCAAATCTCTTTATGCAACATGTCTCATTCACCTATTCAAATAAAATGGGTGAATACAGGCCCTTTTTTCCATGGGTTTCTATAAAGCAGTAACATGCACATACTCACTCTACATTATGCACATTGGGATCAAGAACACATTGCCATGCAGCCAGGAATCGAACCACCAATGTTCTTATGAGCAGATTATCTGCTGCACAACCTGACAGACAGGTTGTGCAGCTTTCCTAGTGTCCCACTTTATGTGTTACCTGTCTGGGCTGATTGGGAATGCAGGGCTGGCTGTAAATATGTTTGATGGGCTCCAGGATCTCTGTTCCTCCAAGATCAGCCTCCATCTGCTCAACTTTCTTCAGAGCCTCCTCCATGGTCTGCTGGCTGTACTCCACACTCTTACTGCCATCACATAAACACATGCACCAAAACATCCATTCAGATAGCTTAGCAAAGACAGCAGGGCCTTTGTTGTTGTTGTTGTTGATACTCACAGGAAGATGTGTTCATATCTGGACCCAAAACTGTAAATGTTGAAATAGCAGCCAATTGGTAAACTCTTCAACAGGAGCAGCAGAGTATCCTGAAGGGAAGAGGGAAAAGATGGTGAGGCCACTGTGTGAGAGGAACATTGTGAAAGAATATCTATCTAATATGAGTGTAAGAACAAATGATGGATACCTTGGCACTGCGGATGCGAGTATTACTCATACTTCCAGATCGATCCATTAAGAACACAAACTCTCCACATGAAGCCGTTGAAGACATCACAGACTGGGGGAACTCAGGGTACAGACTCACCATCACCATTGGATCACCCATCAGAGAACCTGAGAAATCAGAGACAGAAAAAACTTAAAACAACATCGCCTTTAAGTGTTTATTCAAACATATTGAACTCCTGAGCTGATGAGTAAAGATAATTTGCTAATAAAAATGTATCTAACAACATCTTCCATTTTCACTCACCCGGCTCAGCAGAGGCCTGTCCTGCCTCCACCACAGCAGTGGGCTGGTGGGCGTTTTTGTAATAAATCAGCAGTTCAACATCTCTGTCAAACTTGTGTCCTGCAGCCAGCTTGACCTGCACACCACAAACACATTCATATTTATTCCTCAGTAATAAGCAACAACCACACACAGCAGACACATCAGCACTCTACCTACCGTGGCCTGGGTTTGATCAGTGTTGAGGTACTGCAGAGGGTCCAGGGAACAGTTGGACTCTACTTTAGAGATTGGACGAGGAGAGGACACTCGGGCAGAAAAAGACAGACTGTAGGGCACCAGAGAGGCTGGAACAGAAGTCACCTGGACACCTGCACCTTCACTACCTGCACACAGCATCAGGTTAGAAATGCTGTAAACAATAAGGCTGCTCACAAGAAAAAACTTCAGCTGCTAAAAACCTCTGCTTCGAATAAGGATTTCAGTAAAATTAGGTATTTTTAAAAAACAGTTCTATTTCAGCTGTTCGGGAATAACTAGATTATCAGAGTACAAATGATAGAGAACCATGCATCTGTGTGAGCAGCTTTACAATTTAACAGCTGTACTCTGTGTGTTTTGCAAATGTTCCACATACTTGATCAATTCTAATAGCAAACTGTAACATACACAAATCCCCATAACAATTTTATATGTTCAAATTTCACTTGCAACATATCAAGCTGACAAGAAAATCTGAAAAGTTACAGTCTGTGGTTACTCAACACATCTGCCTCTGGTTTCTTACAAAGTTTATAATATGAAAAATATCTATATCACTTTTTCTTCTAGAAAATGAAGTTGGATCTTGACTTAATTTTCTGCCATACATTGTATTCTGTCAGTGTTTTCAATGTTTGTTAAAGACCTAATATGGTTTAAACATTTCTGGTCCAAGTATTCTGAAGTTGTCCTACCCTGAGGTTGGTATCGAGGGTTGAGCACAGCAGGCAGACAGAACCTCAGACCATCATCAGCCTGCACAGCCAGCTCAGTGACGTACTCCAACCTGATGGAGGCGCTCTCTCCTGGAGGCAGACTGCCCACACTCAGAGAGAATATATCTGGACTCTGATCACTCTCCTCCAATAGGAAGGCCTGCTGACCGGAGCTCAGAGCATCATCATACTCCTCACGAGCCTGAAGCACAGCTGACACATTTCAGTGACATTCACTGTGTTTATTTTGAAGCTCACTTATAATCAGGTTATATTTACTGTCCAGCTCACCTTCTGTTTCTCCTTCACCTCAGCTACAATCTGCATCTGTCCAATCTGAGCACTGAAATGACAGACAGCAGCATCTCCAGGCAGAGGGAAGACAAAAACAGCCTCTAATGGTTTGTCCTCCTTGTTCTCATAGTTCAGAGTGGAGACCACTGTAGCCACATGGTCCCTCACCTCCAGCTCCACCTCAATGCTCTTCAGAGGAACTGACAGACAAACAGAATTAGAATAACTACATAAACCATACAGATGTTTTGCAAATGGTTGATTCACAGATTGTGTCTTGTGTTATATTTCAGCCACACAAAAGTCAACTATTAACAAGCTGATACTTAAACCTGACTGTTCGATAGTGTCGCAATGTGTATTTATTTTTATTCATATTGATTCATTTATTTATTTATTTTTTATCAATTAATTTTCCTCTTTACTTTTCTACTACAAGGATATACTCTGCATGACCCGTAGCCATATGTAGCAGCAGCCCACTGCCCAGGATGCATATGGTCAACTTTACCAACTTGTACAGAGTGAGCTTGCTGCCATCCTGAACTCTCCACCAGTAAGTGTGGGAGACCCAGACGTTTTTATTATGTATGCTTTGGCCAGTAGAAGGTGAAAATGGCCATGAACCTCAATGCAATTTTCATGTTGATAGTTGAGTACAGCCTCAGTCAGGGTGAAACAATTATATATTATTATTTGTTACTACAACTGATTAAAGTCTTTACATTTGAATGTTACATGAATGAAAAGAGTCTGCAGAGAAAACTTTATTTCCTGTCAGTACCTGGTTCCTTCTGGAGAGTTAGCAGACCACAGCGGTTCATAATCGTTCCTGTGAAACAAAAACATAGCGATATTAATATTAAACACAAGAAATATTTCTCATCTATGCAGCCTGGAACAATGCTCTACTTTATATATTTTATATACATATAAAATTCTGCATTTAAGAAAACGTTTCCTTAAAACAAAAACTTAATATGACATTTAAAGGATTGTTTTTGTTGTTTTTAGTTTTTTAACAAATGAAACAAAAACATTGGAGTTCATTTTAAAAGCCCTGTATTGCTTTTCTTTTGATTTTTTTTGTTATTGCTCATTAATAAGACAAAAGTATTTCTTATCTGATTAATCAACGGTATATTCGATAGAATTATAATCTATAGCTGCAGCATTAGTTGAGTTTGAGCATAACTGTCCTTTAACCTCTCAGGAATAAAAACTTAACTGGTAAAAACAAGAACTCCAAGAGCTTTATTTCGCTTAATTTCCTATGTGTGTTGGGGGCAACAACAAAGGACACAAAGATGCGCTACCGTAAAGCTTACTGAAAAGGCGCAAGCAATTTAACCGTCGGATAAGAGGCGGCTGACTTCACCGTGGCACACGAACGACGGGGGAGGGGGGGCTCTACTGGTAACATGGCGCTTCTTATGAATACAGCGCAATCCATTCAAACACTTTATCAGGTGACAATGATAAAAGGGTGATTAGAAATAAATCTATAACAGAATATGCGCACACAGAGCGATGAAATAAAAATCTTAATTTAATTTAGCTACTATTATAACGCTGAGTGCACTCTCAGTGTTGCTGTTTATTTCTAATATGGCAGCTGCGCATTAGAGCTCCGAAACTTTAAATATTAAAACATCAAGGGTTACTTTCGCTTAGATGCTTCGGTTTGTCAGCAGATCATATCAAATTATCACCGAAAAATATGAAATTAATTATCAGTTGAGTCAATAACATCGACCAAATAGATTTTTATTTATTGAACTGAAATCCTTAACACTTAGACCCCCGGAGAGCAGTCATTTTGGTTTTCTACCTTAGACCCCTGCGGAGTCATCATTTTGCGTTTCTACCTTTAAAAGCCGGAGAGCAGTCAGTCAAATGCTGGAGTCATTCATATGTATATTAGGTCGTTACCTAGGAATTCTAGGTAACGACCTAAGGTAACGACAAGGTACCACATGTGTACCTGTAGCAGTGAACACATCGCACAGTGGCCTGATTTTTTTTGCATCTGTGTACTTGGATTTTAGGTCGCAAGCCACCCAAAACTTGCTCCATGCACCACTCAGCAGGCCATTTGTAAATATGTGTACAAATGGTTGGTTTTTTGTACTGTTTTTATCAATAAATGTCAGCAACAAAGGACATACACCCATGTGTGTTGATTTCTCCCTAAGATGGCAAACTGAAACACTCCAAGTTGGTGACTTTTGGAGATTTGTTTCCCTGGATGATTGAGAATGCATCAAGATGAAACACAAAAGGAAGCTCACCGCTTTTAGCAGCTCCCCCACCCCCTCAATCACTCAGTGAGTGATTGAGGGGTGGGGGAGTGGAGTGTTTCAGTGTTTCAGTTTGCCATCTTAGGGAGAAATCAACACATGTCCTTTGTATGTCCTTTGTTGCTGACATTTATTGATAAAAACAGTACAAAAAACCAACCATTTGTACACATATTTACAAATGGCCTGCTGAGTGGTGCATGGAGCATGTTCATTGGTTCATGGACCTCCCTGAACTAATGGCATTTATGGCAGCAACAAAAGCGGTGAGCTTCCTTTTGTGTTTCATCTTGATGCATTCTCAATCATCCAGGGAAACAAATCTCCAAAAGTCACCAACTTGGAGTGTTTCAGTTTGCCATCTTAGGGAGAAATCAACACACATGGGTGTATGTCCTTTGTTGCTGACATTTATTGATGAAAACAGTACAAAAAACCAACCATTTGTACACATATTTACAAATAATGATAAAAAGTGAGTGAGTACATTTCAACATTTTCAGTAAATGCCATTAGTTCAACTCTGCAACTCTGAACAAATCCTGCTCCTGACCAACGCAGTAGAGTGCGTTATATAGAGTGCATGCTTTATGGGAGCGGTTTTCTTAAGAGAAAACAAATTCCCCTTGACCCGTTAAATCGTCTAAACGTCAATGACTCGACACGCGTCTTACTAAGATTGCGTCTTCGCTTCTACAAAGATTCGCATTAATGTGAGGAATCTGTGACTAGAAAAATATGGATTATTTTTACACGGAGTGAAATGTTGAAAAACGCCACCAGAAAACCAGTTAAGATGGAAAACCGAGGACTTTTTCCATGCGTTGATAACTTCCAGTCAGAGGATTCACTGTGCAGACGAAAACTTGCATCTTTCTTCTTGTGACAGAGTGACTGTGCACCTGGGCAATAATAGAGAACTACTGCCTTAGGTTCTTAGGTTCTAAAAGTTAACTTAAGGCAATAGTTCTTTTTCACAAAACACAAAACTATTTGAAATTGTTTTGAAACAGTTTTGAAACTTTTTTTTTTACTTTGACCCGAAAGCATTTTTTTTAAAGGCAATAATGAAAACTGAAACAGAAACCAATGATGTGACATTAGGAATGAACTGACGGACAAACTCATGAAGAACGGGATGGTTAAAATCCACCTGTCAAATATGAAAATATGGCACTCGAGACCCCAAATGAAGAATCATGCGCAATAGAAGCTTACCTGTGTGGACAGGTAGTTGTATCCGGGCAGGCTGACTACAGCTCTTTTTCCTTGTAGTAGTGTTTACACACCCCGTTGCAGAAACAAGTCACTTCTGTCGGATACGTCCCAGATCCTTGTTCTTCCTCTTCTTCCAGTTTAACGGCAGCTTGCATCCATCGAAGTTGCATTACTGCCACCCTCTGCTGTTACTTAGACTGCACTTAGCTCTTTAAATCCTCTTCAACAATCCCGTTCTTCTCAGAAACCGAAGAACCACTCCTTTCCTTTCATGACATCTTAGCCAGTCAACCACCTTTTCAAACCTGAGTTCCCCCCTAATTCCCAATTCTACCCTCATCATTCTCCTATGGTTATCATACCTTCTGCAGTTAAGAAATACATGCTCAATTGTTTCCATAACACCACACCAATTACATTACACAGCCCCGTTAAATGTTTCCCCATCCTAAAAAGAGTGCCATTCAGGAAACAATGCCCTGTTCTTATTCTACACATAACAATCTCCCCCCGCCTATTCATTCCCTTATTTCTTTTAACTTCTACTGTATTTTGCATCCTATACAATTCCATTTCCTTGTTGTCTCAAAAAAACGGTATGTACTGGGTGGGCGGAGCTATAGCTTGTTTGTTTTCTTTTTGTTTACTTGAGAATACCTTCTGTGAGTTTCATTTTTACTTTGCAAAAGCTCTGAAGTGCTGAAAAATCTTACTCAAAATAATTGAGCTTACTCTTCCACGTTATTCTGTAATTTACTGTGCATACCTTTCATTAATCAGCACAAATAAGGTTGTATAGTTGGCTTACAGATCATAGAAATAGTTCAAAAGAAATTTAAAGAAATACTGATTAAACAGCATTTATAACACTCAGCACCGAACTGAAGGCAGTATGGTGTAAGTAGATCTGCTTCTGTTGAAGGTGAAGGCACATTAAGAAAATCCTCAGAGACCCAGAGCTTCTTTCTTCACTCTGCAGCCCAACAGGACATTTCCAGCTTCCACACACTCAGACACACATCTTGCTAAAATAGAAAAGTTATTATGAGAACAAATCAAATAAAAACATACTACAGCATCAAACAGTGTTTGAAAGAATATTTTATTTGTTGTTCTCATGGGTACGACCATTCTGAGCAAGGAGTGTCTGTGTCTAACAGACACTACATATGAGATCTTATATGTAAAAAAATTTTTGCAGCCAACATGAAAATGGTAAATAAAGTTTTGTCTATGACTTTATTACTGATGCTCATCAGTAAAACTCCCAGGCAGACCCACTATTGTCATCATCAACACATTCCATTTGTTTTGCAGTTTTACAGCAGAACCGTGCTGGAAAACTAGCTGCACAGTTGATGAATGACCTCTTTTTAGTTTCAAAGAGACATGAGGGATACTTCCCAAAGTCTGACCTGCATCGATCCATCCGCTCAGTGTCCATGGTTACCATATTTGCTGCAGAAGTTGCTGTGAATTAAACAGCTGACACTGCGATAATTAACAGGAGATATGAGTGTTTTTGTTTTTAATGATAAAAGAATTTTGTGACTTGGTTAACTGAAGTTAACTTATAGTTAGGAGTATCACAGATAACTCTCATGTGATCTGTGTCCTTGGAAATCTGGACTCGTGTGGACTGTTAAGAACTGCACACAATTATACTAAAATAAATAGGCTATTACTGAAATACACATGCTATATTATGAACTATGATATAAATATGGTGGTATTTACATTATTTACACTTCTTCAATTATTATTTAATAAAGCAGGCAAGGAGTGATTAAATATTATCATGCGCAACTTTTGTTCAGAACCAGTTTTCTTCAGTTAGTCTTCCCAAAAGAGTAACCCCCCGGCAGAGTTTTACAACCAGTTAAAACTGGTAGGGAGAAGCTGCTTGTTTTGCAGGCCCTGAGCTAAGAGGTGGCCATGATGGATATCAAGCACTGGTTATGGGCTTTGCAGCTGCCCCCGCACATTTTATACTGATATGTCTGCAGGTTCCTAAGTAATTAATCAATCAGTAAGACACTAAAGCTTCTATTAATCCCAAATAAAAATCAAACTCATCTCAGGGTGTAGGCCACAGCTGCACCTTATAACCAACCTCTGATTGGAGAGCTAGGGGAAAGTTGAATGTTCATGCTGCATTCACAGACACCATGCAGAAACAGAACATTTACAAAATCTAACCCACTACACATGCACTGATAACATCATCCCCTAACTTCAGTATTATAACTTCCACAAATATCAGTTGGTTTACACTGAAAAATATCACTGTATGTTTATGTGTATTATTGTGTAGGGTATTGTGTAGGTGAATTGGGTGATGCACAAGCATTCACTGTGCTGGGTGATATGCAACTATAACAAAACATGCATATGCAAGAGAACAGTTTTTGAGTAGCTATCCTCTGTAGTTACCACTACTTTGCTTCTTCCTAGGAGCAAAGCACAGCTATTTAATGTTTTATTTAAATGTAACTTACAAAAGAAAAGGACATTATCATCTGTAAAATTTATAACAAACTGAGCTTATCACAAATATCCTTTCATGACACCAGTGTGTTATTTAACAACCACAACCTTAAAATTTTAATGCCACAGGGTAAAAGGATCCAAAACAAGTTATAAAGTCAGCTTAAACTGCTCTCTTCATTAGAATTACAAACCTCTGACAATCACTTCCTTTTCTCAGAAACGGAATCCAGTTTTGCTGGTACATGTATTTATTTCCTGGTTCCTGTTTAGGAGTATGTTGTAGTTTCTGTTACGAATGCAGATCTTTTGTCACGGAGCAGTCGCAGTGTGCTGTGGAGCAGGCAGGATGGAGGACCCACACACAGGACTCATAACCAAGAGGTTAACTTAAAGTGCAGTCTATTCACTGGGATGACTCATCAGAGAAATAAACATTACTGAAACACAACCAAAATCATAAACACAAAACTAGACTGGACACTGGAACCTAAAACTAAAGAACCCACGGGAACAGAACCAAGAACTAAGAATAATTTCCAAACACAGCACAGGGAGGCCGTGAACGTCAACAACTAGGGGTGGGTATTGATAAGACTTTCACGATTCCGATTCCATTTTCGATTCTGTTTAACGATTCGATTCTTTATCGATTCTCTTATCGATTCTTTTTAAAAAAGGAGAACACTAAGGTCGATTAGCTTAGAACTTTGTTTTATATCTTCTCTTTGAACAAGATAGAAATTTAGGAGTAACATGGCCTTACAAACCCAACAGTGAGATCTTAAGAGATCCAGCCTACGGCTCTTCAATGGGTGTCACAGGGTCCCAGGGAAAAAAATGTAAATGTAAAATAATAAAATAAATATTCTTCTGTAGCAATAACAAAGTATATAAATTATAAATTATTCAGTAGCAATTACACAAGAATATCCAGTAATGTCCCTGCCTACAATTAAACAAATTCACTTACCGAAAATCGGGGGCATCTGCTGTGGCAAATGGGTGCAAGCCTTTGACCACAAACTTAGTCACTGCTCGGTGACATTCGTCTATCCTGGCCTGAAAGGAGGCGCTACCGGTAGACTGCAGCGAGAACTGCCAGCATCTGAGCCAGACTCTGTCTGTCTCTCTCATCATGGTCACCTAAATGCACAGTAATGGCCGGTTTTGTAATAAGGCAGATCGCGCTAACATAATATGCACTGTTAGTTGATTATTTACCTGCCGCATTAATGGGAGAGGACGTGCAAACGTTACCGCTGCTGCTGGGTTGAGATTCACGAGTCCGGAGCGGAATTAAAAACACGACATTCATTTAAGGTCATCACGTGTTTTGTGAGCAAATGCTTTTGCATATTCGTAGTGTTTCCTCCCTTAAATGAAACTACTTTGCAAGTATTGCAAGTTGCCCTGTTGTCATCCGTTCTCGTAAAGTATAATCAAACTTTTGAGCGTTTGAGCCGCTTACGCGCCGTGTTTCCTGCCAGGTAAATGACGCTCCGCAACGTGGTGACGTCATTCGGGGCGACTGGAATCGATAAGGGAATCGTTTGCAAAAATGGCAAACAATTCCAAGGAATTGAAACAGTGTGAACCGGTTCTCGATACCCATCCCTATCCACAACCCAACACAGAACAAGGAAAACACAGGGCTTAAATACACACTGGGATAACGAGGGCATGAGACACAGAAGGGGAGCACAGCTGGGAGTAATCTGACATGACGAGAGCGAGGGAAGCAAAACTAAATACATTGAAAGTCTGTGTCTTATGTCAAAGTAAAACAGGAAACAAAACAGACGCCGACATGACTTAGGGATACAGCAGCCATAGAACACAGAACAGAAATCAAAAGACTAGAAAAGGAAAGTGATGACAAAAAATTCAATAATGATGCAAAACTGAAGACACTGGGTCACCAACCCAGTCCAAAACAAAGTCCAAAAGAAAATGTCCACAGAGGGCACAGGAGCACAGAACAGTCCCAAACAGAATAGGTGTCATGAGTTCAAACACATTGATCTGGGGCCGACCTGCAGGCCTACGGCTCAATAGTTCATCACTGAGCACTTCAGGGGGCTGACCCCGAGGTTGACGGCACAAAAGTCTATGGCACAGCATTTCAGGAGGCCGACCGCAGAACCAGCGGTGGCGACGGAGCAGTTGAGGAGGCTGACCACGCCGGCGAAGAAGTCCAGTCAGCGGCCTGGAAGGTGGCTGCTGACACCGAACCAGATGTGGGCAAGGTCGAGCAGGCTGAGCCAGATGTGGACGAGCTGGTGGCATGGCAACTGCAGGACAAGACGCTGCAGGCGACAGTGTGGAAGTCACAGGAGGTGACACTGCAGGCGGTGGCTAAACGGACTCCCCAGAGCTGTCAGTGGTCACGAGGATGTGCTGGCTGGGTCCTCCAGGACCCCCAGCTAACGAGGCATGATGCTCCGACCGTGGCTCAGGGGTTTGGGAAGTGTATCCTGTAACCGGAAGGTTGCCGGTTTGATCCCCGGGCTCTCTGTCCTGGTCGTTGTGTCCTTGGGCAAGACACTTTACCCTACTGGTGTTGGCCAGAGGGGCCGATGGAGCGATATGGCAG